TCTTTGTTCCCATGCCATAGTGTGAAATAGTTGCAGCTTACAAATATTTGCTAAGTGATTTATGAAGCAGTTGTAAATTGAATAAATAAACAAGGTAACTGGAAAAGAAGTCACTGAGAAGCTTCTATGAACTAAAATTTCCAGCCAGGAGGGGTGATCATAGCAGTAGGGCTGTGTTGGCAGCTGCCAATTATAGGGTGACGGTAATTTTGATTTGTTAAAGGTAATGTGAGAGGTTGCAGGAGCAGGAAAGAAAATCACAGTCTAAGACTTGTTTGCTTTCACATTTATGTGATGAATGATATGTGGTGCCAGCACGTGCACACTAAATGTGTGTGTGTGTTTGCATATCACAAGTGATTTAGGTGTGGAAACCCAAAGGGGGAGAAGCAGATTCTCACAGGGCTCAAAATATAAATTTAATATACTTTGGCTGAAGACCTCCCTAACAATGACTGCAACCTATTTAGATTAAACATCCATGCTGGTGTAATGAAAAATTCATTAGTGTAACCTAGCTTCACTCTTTAAGAATCCAATACTGTGAAGTGAAGAAACTTGATTAAAATAAGACAGGTACAGTGTTTCCAAGAGACAGGCAACCCTCCTAGAGGACTACACCACTGGGATACCAGCTATTAAAAAACCACTCCAAACCAAAACAACATACACAACCCAACGAAACATAGAAAAGTTGACACTTTAGAAGTGAGAGTCACATTTGATGAAGTACTGAGCATTAGAAATTAAGTTTGAAAGTTTGTGTTTCAATTAAAATTCAATTTCAGTTAAAATTCAGTTTGGGTTTTCTGAAAGACTTGTAATTGCAACTCCAGATGGGGTTCAGTTCCAACAAATACCAATGGATGCAGCTGGGCAAAAACTTCAGTGTTAGTTTAATGTATTAAAGGATGGGCTTTGGATTGCCTATTGTGCAAAAAAGAGATTTCTAATGCATTTTGTAGATAGCACATCTGTGCCTAGTAGTGGCAGCCTAAAACCCTTTTTATTTCTTTCATGTTTTTAAAATTCTTGTTGAACTGAAATCCTCAACTCTGTTCCTTTGGTTGGAAAACTATACTTATCTTGAGCATTTTCTATGCACTACATTTCTTTAGTCTTAAACACACTTCCATATCAGGCTCAGACATTATAGGAATGCTATAAAAAAGTAAAGTAATTTGAATTAAGCCAATCTAAGTCGTTAGAAATTTTAAGTGCCTCATCCTGCTACAGTTCTTTAGGCTTTGCTCTGCCTGAGGCTTGCTTTTCTTAAAAAAGCAAGAAACCAAAAAACAACAACAACAAAAAAACCCCTCACTAAATCAAATTCTGTTTTAGCATTTACTGTTTTATCACTTAAAAGAAGTTTATCTGAAAGGGAAACATGACCTGTTTCCGCAGTAACTGTTGTTCCCACATAAAATGTCATAGAGATGGGAATCCTTAGGCATTCTAAGTGTGCTTTCAAGAGTTACTGCTGTGGGCAGACTACAAGTCATCGGGTGTAAACATAGATGATGCCTGGCAATTACTCTGTATTGATACTTTATTGTTTCCTCCCTTGCTGACCTTAACTAGACTTTTAAAATCCAGTGAAGTTATTAAGGTTAAAGCAGACCATTTTCTCACCTAGTTCATGTGTTGTTTTTTTTTTTCACCTGAGCTCTCAGAGTTTCAACTGTTTGAGAGGGTGCTAGTGGAAAAGTGTTGTGGTGTTACAGAGAGAGAGTTGAGAACCTTTCACTAACACTCAAGCTAGGGTGAGATGGCAACACTTATGTTGCCTGTCAGGCAGCAGAAAACATAAAAGTATGCTGGTAATCATCTGGTAATCATCTCTCTTGAGTCAGTCTCTTTGAGAGAAGTGCCTTATAGAGAGGCTGTGATTCATTGTGGTGCTTTAACTTGTTCTCCTTAGTTGAAGACAGCCAATTTCCTTGTAGAGCAGAAACGAAGCAAGGTCCCCATAGCCTTTTATGCAATAGAAATAGAAGTAAGAGCACTCAGCCAAGAGATGTGAGGTCTGGATTCAGTTCTTTCTGAGAAGGTTCAAGTGTGTATTTCTCTACTCTTAAGAAGAGTAATTTTACCCACTGAACTGAAGCGTCCAAGCACTGAAGCAGAGTTCAAAGTTGATTGAGTCTGAAGAAAAACAGTAACAATCTTTTGTGTTTCTCCCATTTAATTGCTCTCCTGTTGCTAGGTCTCTTTATTCTGAAATTGTCTTACTGTTTACAAATTTTAAGTTGAAACATTTTAAGGTAACTTTTTTTTTTGGCAGTAAGAAGACTCAATCTTAGTTACTGCCTGTCAGATAAGGTGTGCTGATGTAGTTGCACACTATCATGTAACATACTCTGATTTTAGTACTTGTTATAGAAGTTGGTTTTGAGAAGATGCTTTCTAAGGAAATTAATCTCCTGTATAAGGATTGTTTTGGGGAAAGGATTTAAGAGTGATAATGAGATTTTTTTTTGGCTTGTTTTTTGCCACAATAGTAAAATCCTAATGCCCTCAAATATCCCTATCCTAGATATATCAAGATCTTTCAATAGGCAGTGCTTGACATCCTGAAACACATTGTTCTTCTTAGGGCTTCTGTCTCAACAACACCCTTGTATAGAATTCTCTGGACTCATATAAAGGAAAGTATAGACTGAGAAGTTCCCTTTCTCCTCTCCATCTGATGAGAACTGAAGTTCACTGGTGAAAACATTTATGCTCTCCAGGTGCATGGTCACAGTTATCTCAAGTACCAGTGTTAGTTCTCTGCTCAGCTGCTGTCCATGGCTGCATCAGGAGCTCTTTTAACTCCCCATGCTTGGGTTCTACTCGCTGGCTGGTTCAGCTTGATTCTCACAAACAGATGAACATGTTTGTCTTGGGCTTGCAGACCCATTGAATATCAGCACAAACCCTCTGTCCATGCCTGGATCCTGGACCAGTTGCTGCCCAGTCAGTTTGCATCAATCTAAGTACACTGTGGTCTTCCATCCCCACCACTGCTTTTGGTGATAACATAAATTCCCCCACCACACCTGGCAGGTGCCCAGGCAAATGGGTTCTGTGACCTGCAGCTCCTTTGCAGCTGAGATGCTGGGATGTTCATTGGACTTTGCTCCAGTCCCTCTAGTAGCTGGCATCCAGGCACGTGGGCCCTATGGGCTGTGATCCTGCCCCAGTGGTTGATGCTGAGACTTCACCTGCTCCAGTTGCAGGTGACCCTTTCATCCAAGACTTGACACCAGTTGCTGACCCCAAATTCATGTTTTATGGGACCTGATTTCATGGCCTGTTTTGTTGCTGAGACACCCCCACCCACTGTAGTTGCTGGCCCCACAGACACAAGGGGTTCTCCTGAGGTCTGGTCCAATTCCTGGCCCAAAGTGAGTTGTGCTCAGTTGCTAGCACTTAATCTTTACAGTACTCAGGTGGCACAGAGAGTGGTTATGTGGTAAAATAGTTAAGAAAAGATTTGTTATTAAGTTTTGCACAGTTGCACTTGTCCCTGTCATCAGCTACAAAGTCCAGCCTGGCTCTCTGCCTGTACTTTCTTAATGACCTATTGATTAGTGACTGGAACCTTTTCTTCTTTGTGATTGTTTCCTTATCCCTTGTCTATCGGGTTTGTGTCACTGTGTGTCTTATTTATTACTTCCCTGTTATTTGTATCTGCCTTTGAGCTGGAAAGGTCCTTGATCTGATAACCTTAATAAAGCAGATGCTCTCATGTTCCAAATACCCTACAGTGATAATTTCACAAACTAATTGGGGTTTTTTTGCAGTAAAATATGTGAGGGGGTAAAATGCATCTCTTTGTAAGATACTTTGTTTTATCTTTTTCGATTTTTTAAAATAGCTGGCTCCTGTTTATGACCTATCACTTTCAGTAGTCATGTTCTAAAATTTCAGTTAAGGATAGTTTCTGAAATATTCTTGGCAATGCACAAATGTAGTACAACATGGCATGGTGGAAGTAATAGGTTCCTTGAGGACCCCTGATATCAGAAGTGTGAATTCTTTGGCAAAGGAGACAGTGTTCATGGGCTTGTTAGTACAACTGAGAGGCTGTATGGATTTACAAAGCAGAGGCAGTGTGGTGCCCAGACAAACAGGAAGGATAAAAGAAATATCAAACACTTGTTTTATTTTTACTGGGTTAGCCATTCACAGTATGAATTGACTGTAGCTTTTTGTTGTATGTAATCTGTTTTCTTCTGCAGAGCTCTGTGCAAAGCATCTTTTTGGCTTTCTTTGGATTTCCCTTTGTTACTTTTCTAATGATTTATGCTTGTCAAGTGGTAGATTAAAAAAAGTCATTCTGGGAACTTGCTTGTTTGAATGATCCTTATCAAAAGTGTTTCAAATCCTTGTCATAGGTGTGTAACAAAACTGGTTTAATTTTGGTCTTATTGCAAAAGGCTGTTTTCAGAAGGAGTTGCCACAAACTTAAAGTTTCTGCCCAAATGCTCATTTGGCTTCTATCACTTAGTTGAGCTAAGCAGAGAACTCTACTGCCAAACCATCAGTGCTTTGACTTTTCTTTAGGTGATTGCTTGTTTTGAGCAGTTCTTACATGAACAATTTTGTTCTGTTGTCTCACCCACTGGAAATGTATTATGGCACACAGGCCTATGAAGTTTAGGGGATCTTAATGACTTAATGGTTTACTGAATTAATAGCTGAGAGGTTTGCCACCTGGAAAAATAAGGGAAGTATTGCATTTTTGTGCCGTCAGGCTATGATTAAGTAACTCATTAGATATGGCAGTCACTTGAGTCTGAATGTGTTTTGAATTCATTTAGAGTAAGAACAGACCACAGGAATAACTAAGGTTTTGAATGTAAAGCTGAAAACTGATTTATCAGTTTTGGTGTTTGATAAAGTGACATTTCATTGTTTAATGCGTTATACTGGGCATGGACATTAACTAACTCAGGACAAAGAAATTATTTCTAATTTGTATTTTGACCCTGCCATGTCATTTGTTTTTGCAGACAGTCATAGATGCCCATATCTTCCCAGCTCTCATAAATATTTTGCAAACGGCCGAGTTTCGGACAAGGAAGGAAGCTGCTTGGGCAATCACAAATGCCACATCGGGAGGCTCTGCCGAACAGATCAAGTACGAAATGGTTTAAATCTTTCCATGAAATAGGCTGAGTTAGCGTTTGTGCGAGAAAACAAACTATCAGCCTGGAAAATGAAAAAGCTTTCACTGTGCTTTCAGTGCTGAATCCAGACACACCATATTCCTGTTATGAATTTCATTCCTTCAGGGAGAAATCGTGAAAGTATTTCAGTTGTAATACTTATTTACATAATTGAACCATTTGTATGTGAAAGAAACTAAATGCAGCTTTTAAACTAACTTCTGAGGGGTGTAGAGTATAACAGAGTGCAGTAACAGTCCGGAGAGGAATAGCTCAGCCCCTTGGACAATGGCATCATGTGCATTGTTTCTTCTGTTTAGCTTATACCAGTACATTATGCTTATATGCAGTTTTGTATTAAAAAAAGACTTCACAAGCATATTAAATTAATATAATTGCTCTTTATAGAAAATATTTATAAGTTACCATTATAGAAATATGGTTTATGGTGCAAAAAATAAAGTATTATTTCATAGCTATATGGAGAGAGTGAGACAGAGAAAGGATTTTAAAGTTATTTTCATTATTTCAGCAAAATTGACTAGATAGAAATGGATGTATTTAATTTCTCTAATTGTTCCAGTCAAGTTGATACTTTATCTGATTGTTTTGTTTGACGTTCATACTAAGTACTTTAATGGCTACGCCAATTACAATTTTGCAGACAATTTACTGGGTTCCATATGATATTTTTCAGGTATTTAGTAGAACTGGGATGCATCAAACCACTCTGTGACCTCCTTACAGTAATGGACTCCAAGATTGTGCAAGTAGCTCTGAATGGGCTGGAGAACATCCTGAGGCTTGGAGAGCAGGAATCCAAACGCAGCGGCAGTGGCATTAATCCTTACTGCGCTCTTATTGAAGAAGCATATGGTATGAGCAAAACACCTGGGGAATTCAGGGCATACTGAAATGGTCACAAACTCACTGGAGTCTCAGCAGGCCCTCTTCTGTTAGTTCCCATATCACTGTTTTTGAAAATTACCTGTTCTTTGATAAGTCTCCAGAGTACTCAGTCTCCTACATTATCTTTTCTGTGTATAGATTGGAGACAGAATATGCAGATCTTCTTTTCTTGATCCATACAAAGCAAAATGTGTTAACAAGAAAACCACTGCAATTCCCAGCAGTAGAGATTTACTAGAATGGCTAACATTGGATTTCATTATAGCATCATTCCTTGCTGTATTGTTTTTCTTTGTGTCTGACTTCAAGGCTTGAGTTTGCCCATGTGCTTTAATGCCTGTCCAAAAACTGGTTGCCTGAGTTTAACTGCATTGTATACATATATATTATGCAGGTTAGGAAATGGAGTCTCCATCCTTGGAAGTTTGGAATACTTGTCCAGACACATCAGATCTTATCTGGTGTTGGTTAGTACTGCTGGGATGGGCTGCAGTTTGGACTAGATGATTATCAGAAGTCTATTTCAGCTTACACGTAGGAGATTCTGTAGTCACAGTCTTCATAAAGAAAGCACTGTGAACATGCTTTTGGGAAACATGGTCCTAAAAGTCTCTTCAGAAAAAGTCTTTGAGTTTGAGGCCTTGTTCGTTACTCATTCAAGCTTGTTGGTTTAATTTTTAAGTGAAAGGGTAAAGGCAGAGAGAAGGTACGAAACACATGTCACAGTTACAGAGACCTCTGTAGTTCAAACTGGCTTTCCTTGGTTCTGGAGAGTACAAGTTGGATGCAGGTCTGCATAGAGGAGCCTGTTCTTTCTGAAGGTGGGAGAGAATAATAGAACAGACTGAAAATTATTGATTATCATATCCTTTGTCTGAGCTGTAACTTTTATGTACTACAGGTCTGCATAGAGGAGCCTGTTCTTTCTGAAGGTGGGAGAGAATAATGGAACAGACTGAAAATTATTGTGGTCATATCCTTTGACAGAGCTGTAACTTTTATGTACTGCTTTTCTCTGCAGGCCTGGACAAGATTGAATTCCTGCAGAGCCATGAGAATCAAGAGATTTATCAGAAGGCCTTTGATCTGATTGAGCACTACTTTGGAACAGAGGATGAAGACAGCAGCATTGCCCCACAAGTGGATATCAACCAGCAACAATACATCTTCCAGCAGTGTGAGGCTCCCATGGAAGGCTTCCAGCTTTGAGGTGCCCCTGTGCTGTGTGCTCCTCTACCTAGCCAATCCTGTTGTCGAGCCACAAGCCACCTGTGGAGTGATTCTCTCAATGTTTTCCATAACCCTGTTTGCGCTCATTCGCTTGCCTTGTGCACATGCTCTTACATACGTCTGGAAAACTTTTGGCTCTCCGTGGCAGGATGCCCCCTCCTTGGCAGGGGGTCACCAGAATTGCCCTTCTCCTCTAGATTCTGAATCTCTCCACTGTCATCTTTGTGGAGTTGAGGCACCTTTCTATACTTTGAGATATTCCCTGTTCCTATTACAGGAAAGTAATCCCTCCTCCACTTGGCCCCCCCACTCCTGGCATCCAAGAGAAGGCTGCCTTTCTCTTGTGTTTGCTGCAGAGTGTGCCTGCAGTCCAGGGAGACATTCAGCCTTTCTGAGAACGTAGCTGAATTAATTCCTCATGTTCTCCCCTGGATGCCTCTTTGGATGGCTGCGAGAGATGCGTTAAACCTTCACACGCGTTCTATCTACCTTGCTGTATGTGCCAGCTGGGGTTATTGGCATGAGGAACATGTTACAAACAATGGAGTAAGTTCTCTGTCCCCTGCAACAACAGGCTGCAATGGACATGTTTTGTGGTTCTTAGGAATACTGAACACATCTGGCCCCATCCCGTCTCAACACTGAGCTCCCAAGTTGGATTGCAGACCACTGTGGAGATTTGTATACCTTTTCAGTTTGTCCTCTCCATCCACAAAAAAAGAACCTGTGAGTAGGTCACTCTTAACACCTCCCCAGAAATGACTTTCCAAAACAGCTTCTAGAATGGAGAAACTGCCCGCACTTCTGCTTTCCAGCACAGTATGATCCAGCTGGGCCTTCCTTAAAGATCAAGCCCTTTCTGGCTCCATGCTCTGGAGTCTGGTCCCTGGTATTCTAGTTATGGCTGAAAAGTTCCTGTCTGCCTCTTTACATTTTTACACAGCGTGACTTGAACAGATTTGTCTTCTGAAAAGTTAACTTCTGAATACAGAATTCTTAATTTGTAAAACTTGGCACAAGGAGCGTTAGATCTCCGTTTCATTTTCACGAGACAAGAGCTTCCTCTCCAGCTCACCTGATGGAATATAGTCCTCCTGGTCAAGGCCCTTATTTAACTAAAATGACACTACATTCGCAGGATAGTACTATTACATCTGGATCCACCTGGCCTTCTCATTTCACTTTTCCTTTTTGCTGTTGATGAGACTTCAGGTGAATTAGCATGGAACTCATGGTTCCTCCAGGTGACATCTGTAAGGCATCGTTGACTGCATGGCAGCTGCTGTGTGCAGCTGGAGACTGCCCTTCTGCTAGCAGCATGTTCTTGGCTCTGCAACCTGCTTGGATCACAGACCTCTGATGCAAAGGCCAGCCACTCCTGAGTTCAGCTGACACTGGCACCAAACTTCACACAACTGGGGAGATGCTGCCTGATTGAAAGTGGCAGTTCCATTTCAGAGAATGCAATGGTTCCCTAGGCCATTCCCCCCTGCATCAGGCTATGTTCTTTCAAGCCATTTTGGATGCTTGGAACACACATTTGTCCAGTGTAAACATTTCAAAATCGCCACTGGCAACTGCAGCGTCTCGTACCTGTGGTAAATGTTTGTGGCAGAACTGTCTTCAAGATCTTCATGCCTCCTCTCAGTGATAAGCCACTGCAAAAGCAAAACCAGCCCATTGGATACAGAGTTATAAAAACACATCAGTCACTTGTCATACTGCTGAAAGAAGCTAGGCAAAGGCCTGAACATCAGCTCTGTGTGACCATTATTTAAATAAAGTCTTCTGTCTCTGCTTCAGGATGGAGACTCTGACCTGTGTGGCCACTGCAGAAGCCACCTGCTGCCTCCCTAGCTAAGCCAGTTGGCCTCCACTTTCCCTCTCCCAGTTATTTTCTCTAGTGCTGCTTTGTGCTGAAGGAACATTTAGTTTACTGCACTTGATCTGTAAATGGACTTCAATTCTTTGTAATTTTAGGGGGTTAAATTTGGTGGTTAATTTAAAAAAGCAAAAAAACCCCTCAATGTTGCCTTTACATCACATATAAATAACTGTGTTTCTCTTTTCTTGAAGGGTGATAGAAGCACTGATTAGTAGCAAAATCTTGTTTTAGCTTTTGGATTTTTTTGTGCTGGATTTTTTTACGTGTAAATTTCCAATAACATGTCATTTCTATAAGATTTGTTTAAAACCATGTACCTCTTATTGGATGGTATAAAAATGCTACATATTTTGTAAACAAATCTGAGCAAAGTGTGTGTGCATATATTCTGTATATTCATATATGTATATTCTGTGTATATATACACTAGCGTGTATATATACATATATACACACACACATATATATACACACACACGCATAAAGTGTGTGTATATATATATATACACACACACATATATATACACACACGCATAAAGTGTGTGTGTATATATATATATACATACCTATATATCTATATATATTAGTGTTTCCTCTTCCAGGCTAGTGAAAACAATGTGGTGCATTGGCGTTTCCCTCCCCTGCCCCCCAAGAAAGTAATGACAATTGCCTCTAAATGAGTGAATTAAAAAAAGAGTCCATTTAAGCTGACTGGTGTGCCTTCCTGTGTAAGGAGCCTGGCCAGTATTTGTTACTTTTGCCGTGGATATGTGAATTCAGAGCAGATAAGTATAAATCTTTAAATTTGGTATGTTTATTTGAAGTGACAGGCCTGGTTGACGCAGGTAATATTGTTGTCCTAAATACTTAGACTGTGTAAGGCATTTGACTGGTACTAGATAATATTTTGAGTGAAAACCACACCAATACAAGAATCAACATGGCACACATTAAATGGATTAAAATGTGGCTAACTCATAGGTCTCAATGTAATTTTAAATGGTGCTTAATTGAGTGTATTTCCATCAGGATCTTCCAGCAACCAGTTCTTGGCGTTGCTTTACTTAGCCTTATTAATAGGTTGAAAAGAAACAAAATCTACTTCTAACAAAGGCTGCACATTAAATGGGTACAGAAGGGAGATCAGACTTGTGCTTTTTTACAAAAGGAAAAGCTCACTGCTACAGACTGACCAGAATTACTTGGTAAGCCAAAGGCAACTAAACTACTTGCATTTTAACAGAGCCAAACGTGTAGTGTAACATTACCCACCTAACAAGTAACGTTCAGGCCACAGATGAAGGACTCTGTTCTGGAGGAAAAGTGCCAGTGAAAGTAGGAGGATCAATATATCATATTGCTTGAACACTGTTTCCTAACACAGCTCTGTTGGCTGTGTCCCCAGCTAGAAGCATTGAAACCTGTATTCTCTGCTCTCCTGAAGGACGTGCTCAGATAGGGACCATCTCAGAGAATGCCTCTAGCTGCCACTTTTGTCAAGGCCACGCTGTGTTTTGAATGATCTGTTGTTTTGTGTCTTAAGAGGCAGCATGGTCTCATGTAGAGGGTAGGTGAGGGAGCTGTTGGAGTTCTTGTGTTCTTCTCTTAGCTCTATCAGGCAGCATGTAATGCTGCCAAAGTGTTTCATATTTTCTTCAAAATTAAAATACACACATTGGTTTCTGTCTGCTTGTGGAGATCCGATCTAAGCGTCTTCCAAAAGACCCACAGGGTGGTAATGAGAATTTATTGCATTGTTTTTGAAACATCAGGAATGAGGTGGAAGCTCTGCACTGGGATTTTAACAATGTCTGTTTTAAACTGGGTGTTAGAGAAAGGAAGATGCAGGACTCCTGGAATTGCTATCTAGCAGTCCAGCACACAGATCTGTAATGCCATTAAAGTTGTGGTTTTGTTTGGGCAGCAAACAGGAGCCATCATTCTTTCTGTTGGTAAAGTTCCCAGTGGAACATGGAAGGCAAGGTCAGTGTCTTGGATTCAGGAGGGTACAAAGGATGGTGGAGCAGGTTACTGAAAACTCAGTAACTAAGCCAGGGCCAGCACTTGGGACTCCTGGGAAGGTATCACACAATCATTTGAGGGAACAACTGCCTGGAGACTTCAGCCTGTTACTAAATTCCTGTTTGTTCCTTGATGCCAACCAAACACAGGTGGTTGAAGACCCTTTGCCTAATGTTAGAAGAAGGGAGGAAGGCAATGACCCTGGACCTACATGTTCTTGGACCTGCTTTTTTTTTTTTTTACTGTCAGCACCCAAGACTGTTGAAGAATGAGGTTGCACCACATGGTCCTACAAGTGACAGTGCTCCTGGCAATACACTTCTGTGCTCCTCTGGGGACTTCCAGAACAGCTGTCTTATCTCTGTGCACTTTGATCTCTCTGTCGGCTTAAAGTAAATTCCCATCTCTTCCAGTATGATTTTTTTTTTTTTGCTTCTTGGAAATTGGCACAACACACCATTGGTACTCTCCCATGCCCATTTTAGACTTGAAGGTCTTTCTTCAGGTGCCTGAATCTCAATAGAAAAGTAAGCAAGACCTTTGTGTACTGCTATGGCTGTGTCCCGCTGTGTCTCCTGCATGTTCCATTGAGGCAGTGTTGGAGTTGTCAGGTGATTGCTGCATTAGGAAGCTTCAGTCGCCTCTGGACCAGGTACAGCAATAGGATTGATAAACTGGATTGTTCTGGATAAATGGGAATGGTGTTACATACCAAGCCAAAGGGGAGAAAGAAAATGAGGTACCATTTCAGCCTTAGTATGTTCCTTCCATTGTGCATTGTTGAAAGGCTTTGGGCTGAAGCTGTGAGCTCTCAGTGATGTGAGGGGTGTTAAGTTCTCCCATGAGCTGGACTGGCTGCTTTGGCCAGAAACGTGTGCTGGTTTTGTAACCACTGTTCCTGTTTAAAAGTGCTTCTTGGAAGCCATTGTACCAGGAAAGAGGTGGTTCCTTTCACTGCCTTGCTGAGAAAGATTTACATCATTTTATAGTACCCAGCTACTTGCAAAGAGAACGGTACAGTGGTTGGGAGCAAGCTGGAGACCACACAGGCTTTGGTTTGAGACTTGAGCCTATGCAGAAGCTGAAAAAAAACATAAAGTTGGGTGGTGATACAGAGTCTTTATGCCATATTTTGAAGTGGTGGAGATACCAGGGTGATAGAAGGATATGTTGGAGCTTTCGTCTAACCACTGGACCAGACTTCTGTTTTTGAGTAAATGACATAAAACTTACAGAAATTTAAGTAAAATGAAACACTGGTTACTGTTGCTGCTCTGAAGTGTTGCTTTTGAAGTGGTGTTTTGCATATTTTTATTTGAAGTACTTTACCAGCTGGATGAGTCCAAATAGTTTCATTTCCAAAACTTGGAGAGGCACCTGTCAATTCTGTTCACAGAGTGCACTCAGAGGTGTGTTGAAAGGGTGATACTTTTGAGATGCACAGTTTTAAGCTTTGCCATCACCAAGCATAAATCATGAGTTTCTCTTCAGAGAAACCTGAAATGCACATTCTCTTTTTTGGTGTCATTTAGTACATGCATGACCACAGGCATGTAATTGGGCAGGATTTTGTTTTGGTTCCCACCTGTGTGCCTGCTGGTGTGGCAAAGAACCCGAACTGTCATGGAAAATCTATTCACACACCTTCATTCAGTGCTAATTAAGTGGACAAATGTGTGCAATCCTGCTCTGCTTGACTGACAGTGTACTTATGATTATTTCCATCCAGAGAATCTGATGACAGATCATTGTATCACCTGAAGGTTGTGACTTCTGTGATGGAATTGACTACACAGCTTTTCTGATAGGTTACATCTCAGTGTGGTGCTCAGAAATGCAATTCATAGATGGAACTGCAGCAGCTAGTGAAGATTTACCCTGTATTTTTTTTAGGGCTTTTAATTATTCAGCAGTACTGCTAATTTTTAGGAGTACAACAAAAACAATCTCCCTCTCACTCTGAGAAAGTTCACAAACTAATTTTGGTAATTTTATTAAGCTGATATGTCTCTTTGGTTTTGGAGTCCCCAGGGCCAGTCAGCAGGGCAGTGCTGGGCAGTATAATTTTGAGCAGTCCTGACACTTCCAATCTACATTTCCTTCCAGATGAAGTGAAAAGAGGAAGGAAAATACTTCCTTTGGTTGCTGTGGGCCCTTCAACATGAATAGTGTGTGACTGGGCTCAATGCCAGAAATAGCGCTCTTGAGGCAGGTGATCTCTAGGTGGGCCTAGTATGATGAAACCACAGACAACAATTTAAAAGAGCAAAATCCATATAAATCTAAATGAGATTCATAAAGAAAGAGCTTAGTAGCAGAGAGCAAGAATGCCTGATTGACTTTCTCATATTCATGTGCCTCTAAAATAAATTGACAGTATAGGTTGAAGCAGTTGCTCAGTATTCCTCAAAACAGTCATCTCTCTTCCCTCAGCTTGGATGTTTTCTCATCTCACTGCCAGCTCTGCTGGGACCACTGTTAGGTGTCAGCTGCAACACCATGGTTCTCTGGAATGTTATTTCAGTCTTCATCTCCTTCCCTGTTTTCTTGAAGGCAGGCAGTTCTTTACAGGAAGTTATCCCTCACTGAAACAAATGCAGACAGAGTAATGGGACCTAGACCACGGAATTAGGCTTTCTGATACCTTAGGATCATTTTGCTGATGTTAATGCAGGTCAGATAGTAACTTTTGGCTCAAGGGCTCCCTTAGTAATTGTTCTGTCTTGCACAGAGGAACATGTGGATTATTTGAAGTAGCCAGTATCAATACAGAACACAGTTCCATTCTTGCTGAGGAAACCTGAAATAGTCAGTGATAGTGCATGGCTGGCTAGTGAAGGTGTTTTGTTTGTACAAGCGAAACCAAATGGACCTTCCTTTGTGTTACAGTTACCTTCCTGTCTGTGGTAAGTAAGAACATAAGACTTCATGCAGGGGATTGGTACCAAGAATGCAGGTAAAGGTCCTGCAGTACTTTAAAAGATGCTCTGGTGCACAGGACATGGGAAACAATTACATTGCTTATCCACTGTGCTCATGTGTCCTGTCCCACTAACCAGGAAGAAAAGAGTTTGGAAGAAAGGGGCAGTTATAAGGAAAAGAAAATAGGTATTTCTGGTTTTATTGATTACAGGACAGCATATTCATTCTTTCTTGGACAAGAGTGTACAGAACTAATGTACATGAAAGATGTGATGATATCTTCCTGTCAGTGCTGAAAGGAACTTTGCTTTTCTACCCCAGTCCTTGATCTCTTTATTTCCTCCTCTATGGTTTAGCAGATGCACCTTCCTGTCTCCACTGGGCTTTCTTCTCCAAGTTTATTTTTGTAAGAGATTCA